CTTGTTATTTAGCATTATATATATCCTAGGATCTTCTTCTGAGACTAGAGCGGCGTTCCATCAGAAAGTTTTCAGTATTCCCTATCAAGAATGTAAAGGTTTCATCTGAAATCTAGACTAAACTGACAACAAAGATGTCATAATTTTATGTCTAACTCTAGATACCTATTATTAGAAATGGAAATTTTGTCTCTTCTGAACCTCAAAAAAGGACAATGTTTGTATTTAGCCTGGAAATACAATGTTTGTATTTCCAGGCTAAAGAGACAATATTTAACAAGGAGGCTAATATTTTACAAATAAGTAATACACATCCTCAATTATTAAGTCCTTAAGAGTTAATACCAACAGGTTGGTAGATAGAGAACAGACGTAGCGCAACAAATCCATTATACAAATATCACCTCTGTACACGTGCACATAAACATAGTTATACATTCACAAACAGAGCTTCTACATAATTTCTTATCAGATCAACTACATAAGAAAATATTTTAATCTTGAATTCATGATATACCTGGAACTGCATTCAGAAATCATCCTGCATACAGCTGAAATCCTCTCCCCCACCACTTGATTGGTCTTATTTTGAGACATGACAACTCTACAAACATAACTACGTAAGAAATTTAAATGCTTTAAATGCCGACCATTAAAAAAAGAAAGAAACCCTGACCAGCTAGTAACATCGATTTCACAATGGGCAATGGTACACTTTAGTCTGAAACGAAAAATCCAAAATTAGAGGATGAAGAAGAAAAATGATCTTCTTAAAAAATCTGCAGAAGAAACTATCAACCAAACATCAAACCTAAGAACTATTCTGAATTATTTCCTGTCCATATTACTAATTTGAAAATGCCAGCCCATTGTTTACCAGTTCCCTTCCTCATTCTTCATACAATGGACATTAGAGACAATGATGCCTGAATTCTCCTAAAGACAGAACCTTTTTGTAAGCTTCTTGTCACACAGCCTCAAGTGTTGAGGCTCCCCAACAGACTTTTACTTATACTGTAAAAGAGGCAGATGGGACTTGTAACTGCGTTCTTATTGCATCATGTCAAAACACACCTTGGAAAACTGCATTTCAGTTCTGATTAAAATATAAAAGAATTCTAGGGCTTGTACACATAGTATTTTTCCACCACTCGAACTACGTTGATTTAGTTACAGTAGTACCGGTCCCTTATACAGACACACTTAAACCAGTTTAAACCATACATACAGCAGTTACCTCTCACTGGATAAATTACCAGGTTAAACTTATGTAGCTGAAGTACAGCCTAAGACTATGTTCCCACATTAGGTCCTTGCACTGGAAGGAATAAATAATTTCAGGTACATTGTAGCACAATTTCCAATTACGACAAGTTCGCAGGCAAGTTTCATTTTGTTCCCCAAAATCGCCATATAAGCAAGCGTATAAACTATCACATGTTTGTGTTTACTTTCTAACCACAGAAGTAGCAAACCTAAAAGAACAGGATCATAAAAGACAAAATGCAATTAAGACTGAAAAAATCTTACCTTTATTGGATTTGGATGACTTGTTCTTGTTAGGTTTAAAACAAGAGCCCCTTGATTTATCTTCTCTATCCTTAATAAATTTCTGCACATCATCCAAAGAAAGCTTTTGAAGAACAACTACAGGCTTAGCTCCTTTATTTAGATCTTCAACTAGCCCAATCTTCTCTACTTTGTCCTTCTGTTCACTTCTAAATTCAGTTTTCCTTGACTCCTGAGTAACATTGCCATCTTTATCACGCTTGATTTTTGGAATGACAAAATGTTTCAGTGCGCCAGATCTTGCTCCCAACAAATAACTGGGAAATTCTGCCTTATTGTCAGCATGTGCTTTATTACTATCTGCTTTACTCTTATTACCATCTGTCCTTCGTTCATCCTTGCTGTTGGGTGATTTAAAACCAGGTTTATCAGGTCTTGATTTACTAGAATCTCCTTTACCTTCCTGTTTAATACGAGGGCTGTCAGGTCTTGATTTCTGATCCCCAGAAGAAAACCTTTCCCTTGTTTCACCAGACTCATGCCTATGTTTCCTTTCAAATTTCTCAGGTTTTGAACCATCAGATTTAATAACATGTTTAGAATCATGTTCATTTTTGTTTGAGGATCTCAAATATTCAGGCCTTCTAATCTTGGATGGATCTCCTCTGTATCTCTCCGACTCCCCCCTGTCCTCAGGTCTTTGTTTAAGGCTATCATGGTCACGCCTCAGTGTATCAGAAACTGAACGCCCATCAGGCCTTTGTTTCGTTGGATCAGATCTACTTTCAGGTTTTACCCTTGAAGGATCAGATTTCACATCTAGCTTATGCCTAGATATTTCAATTTTCTTATCTGACAGTGGCTTACTGGAGTCCCTCCTACTATCATGTCTATGTTTTGGCGTTTCAGGCCTGCCTTCACTCTTCTGTTTTGGCGTTTCGGGCCTGCCTTCACTCTTCTGTTTTGGTGTTTCAGGCCTCTGCCTTATTTCCTGTTTGCCATTATTTTGTTTTCCCTCATTTTGTTTCATCTCCATTTGCCTGCTCTCATTTTGTTTTGATTCTGCCTGTCTGTTCTCATTTTGTTTCACTTCCATTTGTCTGCTTTCATGCTTGCTTTCATGTTTAGGTTCTAACTGTTTGTTCTCGTGGTGTTTACTTTCCAACCGTCTGCTCTCATTTTGCTGAAATTCCATTTGCCTGTTTTCATTTTGCTGGATATCCGTCTTTTGACACTCAAAGTCTGATTTTTTCCTATAAATCTCAGGATGGTTTTCAGGTTTAAATTT